ATATATATTATTTACCATCTTTCGTGTTGTTTAAAAAATACCTAAACCCACTCCAAATTTTTATATATGTTTGCTAAACTTATATTTATGGTACATGTGAATCATTTCAAATTTGCCAATGATTAATTTATTTAACATTCTTATACCACTTAATGGGTGGATTAACCCCAATAAAAATACTAGTTTCTGGAGAGACGAAAACATTTAAGGTCTCAAACCTATTTAATATCCATATTATGGTGGTGTATGATGCAGCTATGCATTTAAACAAAAATTCAATTTTTTAAATTTTTTTTTGAAATATGTGGGTTATCCTCTATGAAAAAGCTGAATTTTCCGTTAAATACTATATATATTATTTACCATCTTTCGTGTTGTTTTTTTTCCTTTAAAAAATACCTAAATGCACTCCAAATTTTAATATATGTTTGCTAAACTTATCTTTATGGTACATGTAAATCATTTCAAATTTTCCAATGATTAATTTATTTAACATTCAAATACCACTTAATATATGGATTAACCCCAATAAAAATCCTATTTTCTGGAGAAACGAAAAAAGTTAAGGTCTCAAACCCATTTAATATTCATACTATTTCGGTGTATGATGCAGCTATGCAATAAAACAAAAATTCCAATTTTTTATAATTTTCTTGAAATATGTGAGCTAACCACTATGAAAAAGCTGAATTTTCCAGTTAAATACTATGTATATATATTATTTACCATCTTTCGTGTTGTTTAAAAATACCTAAATGCACTCGGAATTTTTATATATGTTTGCTAAACTTATATTTATGATACATGTGAATCATTTCAAATTTTCCATTGATTAATTTATTTAACATTCATATACCACTTGATATGTGGATTAACCCCAATAAAAATCATATTTTCTGGAGAAACGAAAAACTTTTAAGGTCTCAAAACTATTTAATATTCATACTATCTAGGTGTACGATGCAGCTATGCATTAAAACAAAAATTCTATTTTTATAATTTTTCTTGAAATATGTGGGCTAACCCCTATGAAAAGGCTGAATTTCCGTTAAATACTATATTTACTATTTACCATCTTTCGTGTTGTTTAAAAAATACCTAAATGCACTCCAAATTTTTATATATATTTGCTAAACTTATCTTTATGTGAATCATTATAAAGTTTCCAATGATTAATTTATTTAACATTCAAATACCAGTTAATATGTGGATTAACCCTAATAAAAATCCTATTTTCTAGAGAAACGAAAAATTTATGGTCTCAAACCTATTTAATATTCATACTATGTCGGTGTATGATGCAGTTATGCATTAAAACAAAAATTCCATTTTTTATAAGTTTTTTGAAATATGTGGGCTAACCCCTATTAAAAAGCTGAATTTTCTAGTTAAATACTATATATACTATTTACCATATTTCGTGTTGTTTAAAAAAATACCTAAATGCACTCCAAATTTTTATATATGTTTTCTAAACTTATCTTTATGGTACATGTGAATCATTTCATATTTTCCAATGATTAATTTATTTAACGTTCATATACCACTTGATATGTGGATTAACCCCAATAAAAATCATATTTTCTGGAGAAACGGAAACATTTAAAGTCTCAAACCTATTTAATATTCATATTATGGCGGTGTATGATGCAGTTATGCATTAAAACAAAAATTCTATTTTTATAATTTTTCTTGAAATATGTGGGCTACCCCTATGAAAAAGCTGAATTTCCGTTAAATACTATATTTACTATTTACCATCTTTCGTGTTGTTTAAAAAATACCTAAATGCACTCCAAATTTTTATATATATTTTCTAAACTTATCTTTATGTGAACCATTATAAAGTTTCCAATGATTAATTTATTTAACATTCAAATACTAGTTAATATGTGGATTGACCCCAATAAAAATCCTATTTTCTGGAGAAACGAAAAATTTATGGTCTCAAACCTATTTAATATTCATACTATGTCGGTGTATGATGCAGCTATGCATTAAAAAAAAATTCCATTTTTTATAAGTTTTTTGAAATATGTGGGCTAACCCCTATGAAAAAGCTGAATTTTCTAGTTAAATACTATATATACTATTTACCATCTTTCGTGTTGTTTAAAAAATACCTAAATGCACTCCAAATTTTTATATATGTTTTCTAAACTTATCTTTATGGTACATGTGAATCATTTCATATTTTCCAATGATTAATTTATATACCACTTAATATGTGGATTAACCCCAATAAAAATTCTATTTTCTGGAGAAACAAAAACATTTAAGGTCTTAAACCTTTTTAATATTCATACTATGTCAGTGAATGATGTAGCTATGCATTAAAACAAAATTTCCATTTTTAATAATTTTTCTTGAAATATGTGAGCTAACCCCTATGAAAAAACTAAATTTTCTGTTAAATACTATATATACTATTTACCATATTTCGTGTTGTTTAAAAAATACCTAAACGCACTCCAAATTTTTATATATGTTTGCTTAACTCATATTTATGGTACATCTGAATCATTTCAAATTTTCCAATAATTAATTTATTTAACGTTCATATACAACTTGATATGTGGATTAACCCCAATAAAAATCATATTTTCTGGAGAAACGGAAACATTTAAAGTCCCAAACCTATTTAATATTCATATTATGGCGGTGTATGATGCAGTTATGCATTAAAACAAAAATTCCATTTTTTCAATTTTTTTTGAAATATGTGGGTTATCCCCTATGAAAATAGCTGAATTTTCCGTTAAATACTATATATATTATTTACCATCTTTCGTGTTGTTTAAAAAATACCTAAACCCACTCCAAATTTTTATATATGTTTTCTAAACTTATATTTATGGTACATGTGAATCATTTCAAATTTTCCAATGATTAATTTATTTAACATTCATATACCACTTAATAGGTGGATTAACCCCAATAAAAATACTAGTTTCTGGAGAGACGAAAACATTTAAGGTCTCAAACATATTTAATATCCATATTATGGTGGTGTATGATGCAGCTATGCATTTAAACAAAAATTCAATTTTTTAAATTTTTTTTTGAAATATGTGGGTTATCCTCTATGAAAAAAGCTGAATTTTCCGTTAAATACTATATATATTATTTACCATCTTTCGTGTTGTTTAAAAAATACCTAAATGCACTCCAAATTTTAATATATGTTTGCTAAACTTATCTTTATGGTTCATGTAAATCATTTCAAATTTTCCAATGATTAATTTATTTAACATTCAAATACCACTTAATATATGGATTAACCCCAATAAAAATCATATTTTCTGGAGAAACGAAAAAATTTAAGGTCTCAAACCTATTTAATATTCATACTATTTCGGTGTATGATGCAGCTATGCAATAAAACAAAAATTCCAATTTTTTATAATTTTCTTGAAATATGTGAGCTAACCCCTATGAAAAAGCTGAATTTTCCAGTTAAATACTATATATATTATTTACCATCTTTCGTGTTGAATTTTTATATATGTTTGCTAAACTTATATTTATGATACATGTGAATCATTTCAAATTTTCCATTGATTAATTTATTTAACATTCATATACCACTTAATATGTGGATTAACCCCAATAAAAATCATATTTTCTGGAGAAACGAAAAACTTTTAAGGTCTCAAAACTATTTAATATTCATACTATCTAGGTGTATGATGCAGCTATGCATTAAAACAAAAATTCCATTTTTTATAATTTTCTTGAAATATGTGGGCTTAACCGCTATGAAAAAGCTGAAGTTTCTAGTTAAATACTATATATACTATTTACCATATTTCATGTTGTTTAAAAAATACCTAAACGCTCTCCAATTTTTTTTATTTATGTTTGCTGAAATTATTTTTATTGTACATGTGAATCATTTCAAATTTTCCAATGATTAATTTATTTAACACTCATATACCACTTAATATGTGGATTAACCCAAATAAAAATCCTATTTTTTGGAGAAACGAAAATATTTAAGGTCTCAAACCTATTTAATATTCATACTATGGCGGTGTACGATGCAGCTGTGCATTAAAACAAAAATTCTATTTTTATAATTTTTTCTTGAAATATGTGGGCTAACCCCTATGAAAAAACTGAATTTCCGTTAAATACTATATTTACTATTTACTATCTTTCGTGTTGTTTAAAAAATACCTAAATGCACTCCAATTTTTTATATATATTTGCTAAACTTATCTTTATGTGAATCATTATAAATTTTCCAATGATTAATTTATTTAACATTCAAATACCAGTTAATATGTGGATTAACCCCATTAAAAATCCTATTTTCTGGAGAAACGAAAAAATTTCAGGTCTCAAACCTATTTAATATTCATACTATGTCGGTGTATGATGCAGCTATGCATTAAAACAAAAATTCCATTCTTTATAAGTTTCTTGAAATATGTGGGCTAACCCATATGAAAAAACTGAATTTTCTGGTTAAATACTATATATACTATTTACCATCTTTCGTGTTGTTTAAAAAATACCTATTGGTTTTAGTAAGTGAATGTTGTTGTGTCTTTGTTGTTCATCTTTCAGGAAAACCCCTTTGATCAAATGAGGGGTTGAGTTTATGAATGTATATCAATTCAGTTACCCTTTTTATTAATAAATAATCTCCAAATTATAATATTATTTCGCTTTAGTATTCTTAGTAATGACTTGTAAAACTCGTGGGAGATTATTGTTATTGATCACTTCTGTTAAAAAACTTTGGCTTGGTCCAAAACAAGGGATTTATCAATGATATCGATTCAAAAGATAAAACACAGAAATTTCATTGAGCATAAAAGCTTTCTATAATTGTTTTTGATTAAAGGAGTTGTTGAAGGTGTTTCAAAAAAAAAAAAAAGGAGTTGTTGAAGATTTAACATGTTCTTCGAAAGAAAGAAAAAACAAAAGGAAAAAGCCAAAGATCACACCACTAATACAAGATTAAAGTCTAAATTGAATAAGAGAACTTCATCTTAAGCACGTTCTCCACGAATCCTTCTAGCCAACTGAATATCCTTGGGCATAATAGTAACCCTTTTAGCATGAATGGCACAAAGATTAGTGTCCTCGAACAGACCAACAAGATAAGCCTCCGCAGCTTCCTGAAGAGCTAAGACAGCGTGGCTCTGAAACCTCAGATCAGTCTTAAAGTCCTGAGCAATCTCACGAACAAGATTGCTGGAAGGGAAGTTTACGGATCAACAACTCTGTACTCTTCTGGTACTTCCTTATCTCACGAAGAGCCACTGTTCCGGGACGGTAACGATGAGGCTTCTTCACTCCACCTGTGGTTGGCGCAGATTTCCTCGCCGCCTGTGTTTAAAAAAAAATCGTTAGAGACGCGATTATTAACTCAAAACTGAAAACCCTCGAAACCCTTTTAAGATCACAAACTTCAAATTAAACCCAAAAATCGAAAAACCCAGATCGTGTACGTTCATAAAGTATACAAATTTCAACCTAATTCAAGGTTATAACCATAAAATTGAAAACCCTAGACACCCTTTTAAGATCAATTTTGATAGAGATAAAGATTACAAACTTCAAATTAAACCAAAATTCGAACAACCCAGATCGTCTACGTTCATAAAGTAGACAAATTCAACCTATATCAAAACCCTAGATCCGAATTTCACCTACAAAGGTAGAGAAGATCGAAAGTAACAAACCTTGGTGGCGAGCTGCTTCCTTGGAGCTTTTCCTCCGGTGGACTTTCTAGCGGTTTGCTTCGTACGAGCCATTGTCTTCTTCTTCTCAAAGATGCGATCTTTTTGGAAGAGGCTTCGATAAATTTGCAAAAGGTGAGATTTGTATGATGTGAAACAGTCAAAGGTTGTTTGTATATATAGATATACATGGCTCTTATGGTCGGTTAATTTTGGTAGGTAACACAAAACGTGTACGACGTTGATATTTGAGTTTAGACGGATCAGATCCTTTTAAATTATTGTACTAGTTGAGGTGGCAATCTGCGTCTTCGCTTTTGATTGGCTTAATTTCTAGAAAGGATCGCTAGATTAGCGATCATGGGCCGAGCCGTGTTTATTAACCCTGATTGGCTTAATGGGTATTGCCTCTCTACTGGCTCGGTTGACAAACAAGGTTGTAAGATTCTTTTTTAAACAACATTCTTGATTGAATACAAGCTAAGTTGAGTCACATTGGATTCTGAGGGTATAATGGAACCAAGAAAAAAATAAAAGATAAACTATATTTCAGAATGGCCTAACACCATGTACATTGATGAACCCCGGTTGGGGTTCACAACTTAAATTTTTATTATTATTTTTTCGTTTGATTTTAGAAAAAAAAAATTACACTGATTAATAGCGAGCCACCACATGGCGTGGGGCTCGCAAAACAATGATGAACTCCACCCCTCACAGGTTCACAGAGGAGAGCTGGAAAAAACAATATCATGGCCAAAAAATTATTTTAAAATTTTTTCTTTTCGAAAATTGTGTGAACTTTTGCAATGTACTGTCACTGTACTTGTACTTGGTCTAAGATTCCAAATAGATGTCAAATGCATAACTAAAAGTAAGAACATGTTTACTGTAAATTTCTTAGCTAGGTCTTTTACTATTAAAATATAAAAAAGTAATTAAAACTATAAAATAGAAATAAAATATGTCTTTTATTAAGGAATTTAAGAGACATCTCTTATTTAAATCTCTTGTTTTTCTTCTATATATCTTTTTGTGAATGATTTATATTATTTTATTAAAATAAATTTTAATTCTATAATTATTTTATTAATAAAAGTTATTTAAGAGATTCTGTTATGGGTATACACCATTAAATATGCTCTAAGCAAACAATGTGGACAACACATAGAAGCAATGAAGATGAACGCAGAAGAGTGGAGAAGTGGTCCATTACATAATTTAATTTCATTTTAAAGTGCTTTTTATTTTGTGTGTGTCTGTGGTCCAATTTTGGAAGTGAACAAAGTTAGGAGTTCTTAAGAGAAGCAGACAAATTTCCTTCTCCTAGTTTTAACATGACATTATAAAAATATATGTAACATGTTTTAACATTTCATTTAGATAGTTATACACTTATACTTATTTCTAAAAGCATATTTGGAATGAATCGAGTGTGACAGATATACATCACTTGATGCACTAGAACATACGACTCAGAGTTGATTTATCTACAGATTTTTTCCCCACTTTTTATAGAGAAAGGAGACTAGTAATACCATTTATATTTCATTGGTCAAAACAAGAAACATAAAACAACTATTACTAATTAAAAAAACACTTCCCAAAGTTTTTCACTTCCAAAATATATAAAACAAAGTTTGAAAGATACCAAAACCAAAAAGAACTTGATGTGTGGTAAGAAGATACCAAAGACTTTTTCAGCAATGTGGATTAACCCAATCTCTCCCTCTCTATTGTTCAGGCGGGACCACGTTGCTCTTAATCCTATACGTTTTGTCTACTTTGAACGTTTCTATCTTCTCTTTTTGGTTGGATCGTTTTTACACTTACCTCACTTTCTCTGTTATTTGATATGATCATTTAGAGTTCCTAAAATCCTGGTGGTTTTGGGCTACAGTACTTTTCTATTCTTTTTTTAATTGGAGCAAATATTTGAATATAATAATGTTTTGATAAATGAGCTGATAGAAATTTTTAAATCATTGACTAACAAACAACTTTCCAAATCAATGAATATGTTATGAACGTTACGAGGACTATGAGACAAAACGAAATTCAATCGGAAAAACATTCGTGGTCGCTTGTCTATGTATATAATTATATGTCTGCAAAGACATGGAGGAACAACTTTGGCAGCGTTGCAAAGCAAAGTGAAAGATTAGGATAAAACATCGGTGGCATTCCATCATTTTCGTACATGAACCTGACATAAAGCTTCCTATGTTCTTTCTTTAGTCTTTCTTTCTTTATAATATATTAAAGCATTTGTGCTTTTTTTTAAATAGTAATGTGTTGATGTTATTATTGTCTATGTTGTTAGTAGGCCTAGTTGTTAGCTAGTAGTTTTTTTAGTCGTCATTGATCACAAGCCAAGCGTATAACAACTAAATTAGCAAAAACAAAGCATCCCTATTAAACGAAACCTAACAAACTGCTAACAACATAGACAACAATGAAGCTGCTACATAACCATCATCCCCTTATCAGCCACATTGGCTTTCCATGAATAATTTTGTAAGAGAAAAAAAAGTTTCATTTTAAGATGAATGGAGAGATCAATTTAGTGTATAAATTTAGGAGCATTTGATAATTACCAATCCATAATCTTAAGCTTAAAAGTTAAGTACCTAGCTAGCCTAATTCACAATATGGTATTATTCTTATGTTTCTAATGTTTATTAAAGTATTTGACATATTTCATATTTGCTGGAAACAAAAAGCCTCCATAATTAATTATAGTTATTTCTCTGAGATGCCATTTTTTGTGTTGTGATCGATAGATACAATTAAAATATAATTTATGATAGTTGACATATGACCAGCAACACAATCCCTATGAGCATCACATACATCCCTGTTTGTAGGCTAATGACATTATATCATAAACTCGACATATTATAAGTTCCATATTATATACTGCTTTTTGATTGGAAATATCATATTAATAATAATGTTAGTTAAATACCAGAATCTGTCGGAAACCACACTTTTTGGTTCCGAGTTTAGTGTTCTTGACCTTTTCCTTGGTCGATTTATAGACTTGTGAAAATATTAAAAGAAAACAAACAAAACAAGAACATATATATTTTATTAAAAAAAAACAAGAAAAGATAGACAATTGTTGGTTGTTGTTACAACCTCACTGTCATTTACTAAAATTTTTAATAATTTTGTTTATGTCGCTAATATGGACAACACAAGTCTCTGATTAAGATTCGCTCTACCACGGTACCAGCCTACTCTCATCTCGGTCCGGAGACAATAAACATGACTACATGAGTAGGTCCAAATCCATTTTCAAGAAAAATCTTAGTATGTATTATATATTTGCGTAACATTTATGTTAATGTGAATGATTAATAGTTTGTAGGTTCATTTTTAATTAAGAAAAAAGAAAAAAAACAATACTCCAGAGGAGAGTAGTCATTACTATTCAAATTAGTCGAGCCGTGAGACTTAGGGCACTTCGTGTGGGGACTAGAGTGGTTATGAAATTGACAAATGTGATCGTTAATGTGACTCCCCTTTGTCCACTCACGTGTTAGTTGATTCCACACGAAACATAGACCTGACCACGCGGGATGTTCTCTCGACGCATGTACTACTCTTTGATGACAACCATCACGCATCTTACTGTTTGGATATTTTGGTTTGTTGTGGTTTAGTCGTCTCATTTATCGTCTCTCGCGTGTAGAACACGTACGCCGAAAAGCTTACAAATTCTTTTATCTAATATTATATTTACACGCAAGCGAAAAGCTTTACAAAAACCATCTGTTATTTATTAATGCCAAATCTTGGATGCGGTCAAATGGGTACCAACTTTCAATAGAACCACCACTGATCATTGGGTAGTTTTCTTTAGCAATTATTTGACCACTAGTTACTAGTTTCATATTAGTGTCAATTATTGTACCAGTTAAATAGAGTTTCCCAATAATTTCACAAATATATTTGACTTTTTATTATATACTATGCTTACATAACGGAGGCTACATTAAAACTGAGCCATTGGTATACAAGCAAATGACTTACATTTGGATAAAAATTATATGAATGGGTGGAATCTGAAAATATCTCGAACAAAGTAGTCAGAGAGAGAGAGGAGTGGATGTAGAGAGGTTGCAAGTTTGCAACTAGTCCAAGTGATGTGCTTTAGCATATTAATTAGAGGCCTCTATACTGATCAACTGAGATATCTTTTCATAACCATAGATCGTGCGAAGAGTAAGGAGTGATATCGTTTTGAATTTTTTTCTTTTTACTAATTAGCAACTGTGTATAGAGTTGAAGTTTTATTATCTCATCTATTTGTTTGATTATGTTTTCAATGTTTCGTATCACATTAAAATTCCATGTTTCAACTTACACTTTAATATAGATTTATTTCACAGATTTTGTTTGATATATATAGGTGAAATTTTATATTTTAGGTATACTAATTTTGGCTGAAGTCATGAGTTCATACCAAAATTTAAAAACTCCATTTTTAATTTACTTTTCTGATGGGACTAAATTTGTCGTACTTTCGATAAGACAGCAACTACAAGCTTAAGTCAAATTTCAGAAGCTGGTCCCCACTTCATTTTACTGATTGGTCTCTTATTACAACCAATAATGTAAATTTTAATTGTACGGTTGGATTCTCTTATCTGATCGCATGCCATTTCTTTTAGGGACCACAGTTAGCTGAAAAGTGCTATCTCGATACGTGTCCACCGATATTTTTGGCCGAGTTTAATGACGTCAGTAATGGTCCCTTCCTCCTTGCTTTCAGTTTTCAATTTTCTCTGATTACAACTATTCATGGTCTATAACAAACAAGTATCTTTGCTTGAGATTAATTTACTTTGCGCCAAACTCTTTGTAGATTAATTAGGGGTTGAACCACTAAAATTGGCTTGCTAAGATATAGGTCCAAACTTTGTAAAAGTAATTTTCAGGTTTGCTTCTGCAAAACCTATGTTATGTAGTAAAGATGTTAAGGTAATTCAATTTATAAACTAAGTACACAAACCTGAAACAGATCTCAAAAATTACTCATGGTGGTGAAATGAGTTTAACTAATTCAT